GACGGGTTATCCATTATGTGCCTTATGCAGCAAAACATTATTCATTTACAGCCGGTGTCTGCAACTGTTTATCCGCAGCGTATAAAGGGGTCGAAGTATATATTAGCTCGCAAATCAACACAAACGCTAAGCTTTTGGAAATGTGAACGATTCGCATGTAATGTTTTTATTTCTTCCCGTTGGATCTCTGTTGGGTTTTATTTTGTTCACGTTTTAGGTGTTATTTGAATTTTATTATTCTGTTATTCGTTCTATGTTTTTGTTTTCGTCAGAGGCGGTCGTTTGTTTTTCTGGTGTGAACGCTGCTCAAGAGTTAGGAGTTTGTGGAAGGTAAAAGTGTCCCACCTGTTTTGCTGTCATTTCCGCTTCTTTACGATGATATTTATGATCAACCGGTTCTGCAGCTGTTGCAGCGAGCTGCTTCTAGTCGACTGGCACAGAGCATACCAGAAAATGTTGGAATGCTGACGTACTGCCGGTAGGCTATTGATCCGACCTGTCCGGTCGGTTAACTCCAGACTTCCGTCTTTCTGATTTCGCCCTGATTTCCCTAAGCATTTTTATCAACCACTTAACATTCCATTCGCACAATAGTTTCTAAAAACCTAACGATGGTTTTAGATGTGAAAATTTTTGTAGGCTTTTCAACCAACGACTGTTAGATGCATGGTTCATGGACTTGCCATGACCTGACAGTATTCCTTATAAACCTAATCGTAATCAACATTACTCATTGTTTTCCTCCTGACCATGCCGGTTAGCTGTATCTTGCTCTATAATTTTATACTTCGATTCTTTATCACCATAATCACAAATGAGTTTACTCCGCATGGTCAGAGTATTCACAATTTGCCTAACCTTTCGGATAATGCTCGATCCGTGCTAACGGGCCAGATCATACACAAGGAAATTATCAACATGCAATGATAAGGATAGCATAGCTGCCGGATGGTTGTGTTCTGACCTTCTAAGTGTGTTATAAATCAACTTCCATTCATTCTTTTTTGTGCCTCATCGCCTTCCTCTGTTTGTTTTTCGCTTTTTCTCCCTCCTCCCGTCTTCTTGTTACTCATCTTCTGCCCCTGTTTTATTCTTCTTCCTGTGATTTTAGTTCTCCGTCTTGTCTTCATTCTTTTTGCTCTACCTTTTTTTGTTTTTCCTTTCTGGTTTTTCTTCAACTGTCTGTTTTTTGTGCTTCCAGTTCTTATTCTGCTTTCTCTTCGTTGTTTTATTTTCTTTCTCGTTTTGCTTCTTTCCGTCCTCTCTT